CGAAATAATTTTTCACTCATTCCGTTCTGGTGCGTTTAATAATGAGCCGCTCGCTAAATTACGAGCATTTACAATGGACGACGACGTGACAGCGGCAACTCGAATGTCATATACTGTCTATTACCTTTTATCTCCTTCTTCAAAACCATATATCATCGCGCGTACACCAGTCACATAAGTCATGAGTACGAGTGTGTACCATTCGTAGGCCTCGGTTATCCTCATTAGCCGCGTTCTGTCCACGCAAAGTACACACATCACAATGGCGTCAACCGCATACCCGAGTCCTATTATCTCGGTATATTAAATTATTGACGTTCATGAGCGACATGCGTGTATGCTGTACCTACGGTCGTGTGAGCTGCTTCTCGTCGACGGAAATGAGTTGATGTGTTAATGGCGGCGGTGGTGGTCAGTGCTGTCGCTGTTCGATGCGCGCGTTCTGAGATTTACTCAAATAATCGTTCTCGAGTTGTTCACCGTGCCCATACACGTGTTCGTGATTTTGGTGTACGAACACATTATTAAGCCGCGTTCAGAGCTTAAAATCGATCGAAATGGCAAAAAGTACCTATATACTCAATGATACCCGGGTATATAGTGTAGGTATACCTACCTACCATTTTGAGCGTTCCGTGTAGACCGAAATAATTCTTATTGCTAAACGATTTTGATTTTATTACCTTAGGTAATACCCTATTACATATCATAATAATATGTACTTATGTGTTGTAATAACATTGAAGATTCTTAAGTCTTGATCGTGTAGATGAAAAAGTTTGTTTTTAAAACAAAACAATATCAATATAGAATTATGAATTATATGAATTATATACTATTGTTCTTTTGGATTTACACCCTAATTAGTTTTCATAAAACCTGCAAGTCTACTCATAAAATAAGTGACATGAAATAAAAATGCAAACTTTAAACTACTCAGTGTCTCAATATATTCTTATCGAGCCAAACAATATTGAATAAAATAATTTTATATGATTAAAAAGTATAACATTTCGGAAATAGGTGTAGTTATAGTTAACTAGTTAACGGAGGATATATTTTTATTTAACTTCAAGGCTTAGCCGCAGGTACCTTTAAAAGGAAATCGTAAAGAGGTCGTTTTTTAAGTGTGGTGAGAACTGAGAAGTATAGCGACTTATTGACCCCTCTCCAACACCACATAAATCCCTGTTTGTGTATATGTGTATATTGCGTAGCTATAAGGTATATATATAATATATATTCTATATGAAAGTATTTTAATGTTTATTTTTCAGTTTTTATGTTTTATGAATAAACTTTATATTGGTATGGTAAAAAGTAAGAGTAAGTAGCTTATAGTTAAAAAAAAAAAACTTTAAAGTGGAGTTTATAACGAGTGGAGCGAGCTGTGGGCAAAGCCTCCTACTCCCAAGTACTATATAAATATTAAATACATAATAATATATATTATATTATATTTATTCATATGATTTACGGCTTATTAGTATAAATAATGAATGATATACCTACCTACATACAATTTCGGAATAATGCTTTATTATGTGTACAAATAAAAAACTTAATATCATAATATTATATATAATTCGTTTCACATAACCTTAAAGAAATAACAGTCAATCAAATCAAAAATCGAAAAAAGAATATAGATACCTAGGTGGCTGGGCATTTATTGAAATATAGGTATTTATTAAAATCATACAATTTCGAATGTAACCTAGTAGACTGGTATTTTGGGATGAAGTATGAAGGACTATGGACTAATCGTCCGGGGTGTGATTTTGAATAGTACAACTGTCCAATGGAACTGAGGCAAAATTTCATTTTAAATGAACTTGTTATTTATTTAGATAAATAATTTGTATACAATTAAGTCAAATTATTAAATTACTAAATTAATCAATTTTCTAAATTAAAAAGTTCTATCTTCAAGCTTATTTTTTGTTCAACCTTACGATAATAAAAACAATTTCTTAAAACTTTTATTAGAAATTATTAAGCTATAAAACCAACCAATCGAGGGTAATGTCCTTACTCCTTAGTCCTTAGGTCGTATTATCTCAGGCTTTGTATCTACGTTATATATAGTAATTTCTTTATTCGTTGACCATTGTTGACGCATTGTCATAGAAAATTATGTTAAAAGAACAACTGTCTGTGGTCGAAGGTTTGTTTATCTTTTATTTTTTGTTTTGAAAATTCTTTAACATTATTGTACTTTTTGCTTGCATCATATACTATAATATAATATAATAACGTCATATGTGTTTGCCAAACATTGTTATCGTTATTACTATAATTTATTTATATACTATTCACAGAGAACAAAATCGTCGAACGTTCAACGTACCTTTATAATATTAATATATAATATATATATATATATATATATTATTTATTACTCGCGCAAGGTGCCTCAGAGCCATACATAGTGCCTACAACTGCCTATAGGTATTATTATGACATAATTATTTTATTACACCCCATACGCAATCTGTAACACCGAATTTATTGTCATAAGAGGTACTTACTCTGCAACAGATTATAGAACGAATTTGGTTTCACGGATAATTTACTCAGCATTACGGACGTAAGTAGTCCAATATATGTAACCGAAAAATATTATTTTGTGATTTCGGCGTTTACCAACATCGGGAAAATTATGAATAATCTTCATAAGTGGTGAGCGGTGAAAGCGAATCACGATTATTGCACGCGCATACATATCTGCATGACTGCATAATATGTACACATCATTTGTAAATTTTCCACCACCAAAGTAATTTAACTACCTTAGCTACTTATCTATCTCTATCTACCAGAAAATGGTAATCACGCTTCTATTTTAATTCTTGATTTTAGGCACAGCATTTTAATGTATTAATTTATGTTATTCTCGTAATGAACCTTGCAGAAAACCAAGTAATCTGACGTCCGTGACGTCGGGTAGTTTAAAAATATTTAATGTTTTTATGATACTAATTGGCAATCGGTATTGGTACCAGCCTAGGTGGGGCTATGTACATAATATAGAGGTAGACATTCAATAAATATAACGCATATAAGAAATATATTATTGGGATTCGATACTCAATAAATCCATTTTTTTCCCAAATTTATATCATAGTGTTGAAATACATTCGACGAAAATTCAGTTTACACAGAAAAATTGTCATTAATAGTTTCGAATTATTACCTCACGTTGAGTTTTCATTAAATAAAGAATAATTTTTGCATATTACCCAGCTATATAATTCAGTCTAAATCAATGACAAATTATTTAATAAAACAATATTTTCAGTGTTTGGGAAAACGATCTAACAACTACCTAGATACATCTGACAGATAAAAATAATTCAAATTTTAAATACCTATATGAAAAAAAGTATTGCTACAGTTAAATATAATATAAAATTGTATAGGTACGATAACCATCGTTGTTCATCATTAATATTAATCATTATTAACAAATTATAATTTATCATAGGCAAAAAAATGTCGAGTCAGTGAAAACAAGGGTGTTTCAAATTAATGACGTTGGTCTTTCATTACAGTTGTTAGGGACATTTGAAATAGTAAACTATTGAATGACATCATTGATAAATTTAAACTCAGGATTTCGATGATATTATCCCATCATGTTATTAATCGAAATTTGTATCAATCCGCAACATTAGGTACTATAGGCAGGCAGTTGATAAATGAGTAATAGTTCAATATATGATTAAAAGCATTAAAAGAATTTTAAGCCGGTCGATTCGATAAATGAAATGTTACAACCTACGAGTAAGGGGTGCGCTAGGTAGATATACTTGTAAAGTAAATGATAATTTGTTTATGTAATACCACCGTATCTATTACAGACATGCACACACAAATCACGCAAATGTCAAGCACTTTATGCAACACTCCGTCGTGCTTTATTTTACCTTTCATTGCATACGTATTGGATATTAGTCCCAATACCTACCTATATAGTTTAATGGCTGTAGTGGTATTGCACATTTGCACCAGTGAGTGCTAAAGCTATCAACGAAACAATAATGCATAAAAATGTTACTTTTCTCGAAATGTCAATATATCGATACAATATTATAATTTATAAACTTCACATTCCGAGGTATAATAATTTTAAAAATATGGTTTCTAGACCGATATCAAAACATAAAATTACGCTGCGGTACAATGATATCGTCTATAGTCAAACTTTTCATTGTTCATCAAATACCTTACACTTAACAGTAGGTTGGCCAGTATTTTGTTCTGGGGTAGGTACCTATCTACCACGCACACAAATCAACTGTAACGATTAACTGTACGATTCCCATCCAAAAGGTTTTCCCGAACAAAAAGTAGGTTCACAGTTTCCCACTCTTCCCGACGACTCGTTTAAGTCTACCCGCTCAGTGTAGCTGTTTGACGGGGCACAGACGTCATTTTACATAAATACATTTTACGCTCTCAATGTCACTAATCACCATCATTGACGTCGAATGAGATTTAGGTCCATTATTGTAGCCAAACGATCTCCCCCGTGTATATTGCTGTATAGTTTTCATCCATGTCTTTGTTAGAGCAGTTAAGACGTGTACGCGGCCGCGGTTGGATATAGGAGCAGAGCTCGAGGGGGTCGCGGCTGAATCACGACACAACCGGTTCCCAGAGACAAGCGACTGGTTTTTTTTTTTCATCCATTATTTTTATTATTATTATTTATTAAGTATTATTACTAGACACAAACGTACACAGTTAACGTGTGTGTATAATAGATGAACTTTTTGATATAATATTTTTACTCTTTATATTATATATTGTACGTTACCGTGTACCTGGGTGTCTATAATCTATGCGTAGGCACTTTAAACCGTTAAAGTCCACACACCACCCCATTATTTTTATCCAGCCTCGGAGAAAAGCATATTACTAAAACGCTATTGTGTGAATATAATAATGTGTTACAATGTTCATAATATATTTCTCTATACGTTGTAAGTACTCACCTCTGATTTGTAGTTTTTCTTGTCTTTTTCTCTCCCACTATATATGTGTATAATACTATAATATATTATTATTGTTATACAGGTGGTACGCGATTTGATGAGTTCTCACGTGGGATTCGTTAGTTGATTGTAAATATTCCAGTACATTTTGCGAGTCGAGTATTAAGCACCAATACCGGGTTATAAGTGTAAGAAGCCGAACGCATAAATAAAATGATATTGGTAACCATTAAAATAAATATACGACGGCGACACGGTCCACCGTGATGACTAATGAAAGGTATACTGCTGGTTAGTAGACTGTAAACTGAATAAACCGAGTATGTATGGGACTATGGGTAGGTAGGTAGGTACTACAAGTGAATGGGTTTGAACTGCAGCAACTGGTAGGAGAAAGCCGGAGTGGGAATAATTGGCCGCTGTAGCGGGTCTATTCGTGTGGCTTGATGCACAATAGCGTCATCTTGCCTCTCGAGGCGTCAAAAAGTTCTTCTCGTTTCATCTTTGTTATCTATTTAACGAAAATATAACATGGAATATTAAACAAGTGGCTATCGTATACAGGGTGATTTGCAAAGCATGCTCACCCACTTTTTTCCTTTAATAATTTAAACATGCAAAACCTTATTTTTAGAATGTTTAGGTATTCTTAAATTAAAGGCACATTTTCGAATACCTACTTGAGATTTTTGTATCATTCAGCTATATTTAAGCTGTGTCCTGTGGCGCGAAACAAACTTAAGTTTTTCAAATGTGAACCCTTGTTTTTAACTTTAAATTATTCAGTCCACGATTTCTTCTTAAAAGTTCATACCTATCTATATCGAATTCAAAATTCAAATGAGTAGCACTGTAGTAGTAGCATATACTTTGATAAGACGAGACTTTAATACAATAATAAGTCTTAATATGTAGGACTGCTGAAAAAGCGGTCTGGATAGGTATGTTGTGGATATATAGGTTGTACCAAGAAAAACGTTAAATGGTGTTTGTGTGTGTGTGTGTGTGTGTGTGTGTGTGTGTGTGTGTGTGTGTGTGTGTGTGTGTGTGTGTGTGTGTGTGTGTGTGTGTGTGTGTGTTACTTCTGTTAATTGTTTAAGTGTCATCAGTTACCTACCATCATTGATAATTCCAATTTTATACTAGGGTTCATCCATAAGTTATACCTAATATTGATGTGTTCATTTAAATTTTTATATTTTACTAATGAGTTTATAGATACCATACTTAAAATTGATGTACCTATTAACTTTTATCTCAATAGTATATCCAAAAATGTATTACTATTAAATAAAAAATTAACACATTCATTTTTATTACAATAATCAGTTCAATATTTTATTTATTTTATACTTAATAAATATGTGTCCATTCTTATTTAAATTCCATTCTTATGCAATAGGATTAATTATTATCATTTCATACCAAATAGTATAGTGTGTTCATTTTTGCTCAATAGGTAATTTATACAAGAATTAAATAATACAATTAAACAATTACCAACTAATTAAGTATTCAGTTACGAAACGTATTGTTCAAGAAAACAAGAAAAAATTATTGCTATGTAGAGTTAAAATAATCATAATAATAATTAAAATAATTTCCTTTATGTTTTTATTATTAATGTAATGTTCGCGTAGTCTGCAGATGATTTAAAAGAGCATTTTTGGGTCAATTAGATTTTTTTGAAAATTTTCAATTAACTTCATGTGATTTTTACATAATATGTAGAAAATTACAAGTATGAACCTATACTTATTAATTATTATTAACAACTAACGAAAAATTTCAGATAAAGTGGCTTTGCCCTTTAGCTTTTGACAAAATTAAATTAATTATTTTGTTGTAATTCAAAAAATAATAACTTACCGTGCGTGGCTTGAAATAAAAAAATGGCATTTTATTGACATTTTTTTTTAAATTTAAACTTTAAAGTAAGGTTTCAACATCATTGGTTATTTGCCTGCAGTTGTACAACATAGAGATACAAAGAAAACAGGTTGAGAAAATTAAAATTGTAAAAATATCTATTAAAAAATTAAAATACCCTCCCAACACCAAACGAATAGATGAAGTAAATATTACTGGAGCTAAAATAGGCCACTCACATTTAACTCATGGTTATCTCATAAGAAAAGAACCAGCCCTAGTATGCGATACTTGCAATGAGACACTAACATTAGAACATATCATCATAAATTGCACCAAATGCATGGAAGCCCGCAAGATCCTCAAAAACCCCACCATCCTCCATCAAGCACTCAATGAAGACAATACGGACGTAATCAATGTATTCTTCCATAGTATAAACATAAGTCATAAATTGTAAACACGTGTAAATACTTGTAATAATTATAATGTTCACTTTTTTATATTAACTTAATGCAGGCTAAAGACCTTTGATGTCGAAGCTTTAATAAATTTATATAAAAAAAATTAAAATTAAATGTATAAAGATATTTACAATTTATCACTTAGATTTATGGTATAGAAGAAATTATATCTTATGAAACAGATTGTGGAATTATAAATTAAGTAATAAAAAAAAAAAGAAGAACTTATATGTTGCTTCTGTGTTTTCTTCGTTGAACGCTGGTCGAAGAGAAGTTGGAGTGGAGAAGATTTTCCGTATTTTGGCGTATTTTGAACATCTGGAACGATGTGATTAGAAAGGTTTTCCTTGAAAGTGTCGTGCACTGGGGCAGATTCTTTGTAGATAAGGAAGGAGTGTGTTTTAGAGACATTATAATCATGACTAAAAACAGGCATGATCGCCAAAAAGCCAATATTTCCTATCACTGCACATTGTTTATTTAGTCATGATTATAATTATTAGAATAATATTTAAACGATAAAAATGATCTTCTCATGAACCAATTTTAGTTAATTATTTTTTTTATTCAAAAATTATTAATACTTGAAACTGGTAACTTATTGTAACTACCTACCAACTGAAACTGAAAATACGCATATTATTTTTTTTTACATAATGACATTTTCAAAATATTTACATTATTCTTATGCTATTTACTATATATTATTCATCTATACAGATGATATTATATAGAATTTTTAACTTTATAGTTTATTTTTGGTTTATATATTCGATAATATTTTTGTTCGTGAATAAAAACGCTTGCAAATTCAATACAAGGTTCATCTTAAGTTGTTCTTAACACAATTAAAGTAACGAAAATACAAAGACACAATTTTTTAGTAAGTGTCAAAAGTTCAAATTTTTACGAATTTCTCCAAGAACGTGAAAATATTTAAAGAAGTTTGTTAACTTTAAAGGTTACCGAATTAGTAAATAAATAATAATAATAATAGTTCCGTTTGAAACTAGTAACAAGTACCTAACTATTTATTGGTACACGGTTATTATAGTCATACATTGTAAAAATTGTTATCAGGGTAAACCTGAATAGCTCAATTTTATCTTGCATCAAAGGGTCTTTGCCCATGTCCCGTTTAAAAATAAACAAATAAATAATTACATACCACGAAGTCGAATGGGTACTCGCACGAGTCACACGTCTATGCTCACGTTTAAAACATACAACAAATGTAAAGTTTGAAGCCTTCCCCGAGTTCCCCGGGCATGGACACTGTTCCTGTGTCCCCACTTGGCCACTTGCACGGTTCTTAATCCAGCATTATGGTATTACAGTAGTCAGACTTGGTAAACTTTAAGTTTAAAAGGGACCGTCCAAAAAGTTCGAATTATAATCTGAAGAATAATACAAAAATATGAAATTCTAGAGACTGAAACAACGTCGAGGTATCGTCGATTTCGATTTGAAAAAGTTTGATGATATTATTTAATACTCATTTACAATTTATTTCGTATTTCGCATAGGCCATAATTATACATAACATACCAGATATACAGTGACAGATATGGAGTGATAATTCGACTATTTTATATTTTTATGGATATATTTTAGTATAAGGTCAATGGTATTTACGCGGCGGCCGTTTAAACAAAATATACCGGGTTGTTGTCTCCTCTCAAACGGTCACACTGCGCTGACGGGCGGTGACATTATCAGAGTGATGTTATCTCGGATTGTGTGGCCAATGGTAAACACAGGTTGATACCTACTTGATAATTATTAATTTGCCTTGCGCTAGTGAGCTGAGTAGTGCGAACGGTATTATCTTTACAATATTTTTTATTTTCATTCGTACTAACGCCCAACTCTGCTCAAATTGGTCTCCGTTATTCGTCTTTCACCCCGACGGCGATCCGGCATTAACCAAACATGAGCTGCCTGATCACGATCATTGCTCTGGCTACCGCCGCCCTGGCGTCCGGTGAGTACGATTTTATTTTTGGCGGACACGCCCCGGCAGACGCTGTCCTTCCTCGCCAAAACCCTTGTCCGTTGATCCCCATTCCCAGTGACCGAGTCATTCATTACAGCGACCCGTTGTGTTTATTACTGTGTTTGTTGTTTTCCAGCAAGTGCCCAGAGCCACCAGTTATACGTCCTCAACTGTCCTGAAAACGTCAAGATCGGTCAGTCGTCCGTGCCATTGCGTGCCACTGAGCTGGCCGATGTTGTATCATCGACATTGGGCTTCACCGTCTCAAATGGAGTAAGCCCACATATTTATATATTTCTCAAATTCTTCACCGAAATGATACCTACTTGTCAAACTTTCTAGTTCAGTATTTTATCAAAACCACGTCGTCAGCTGCTATTGACCGAATAACAAGCATGATATTGGTTGCTTGTTAAAATATTAGCATCTTCGTTAATAAAATAATAATTTATATATAAATGCAAATGTTTTGACACTTACCAAGTAACCTACTATAATTAGTAAAGCTTATAAAAAACTTACTCAATTATTGGTAGGTATATCATACTGAATTAGACTAATGTTTTAATCATAACTTTAAAATAAGGACAAGTATTTATGAACATTTCAAGTATCTATCAAAATTCATATTTGTTCCTAGTTCTTGAAAGAAATAAAAAAGTGTATAAAATGATTGCCTGATATTAATCATGACTTATTTTAAAATGTGTTCTATTAGGTAAAAACTTGGAGCAACTTAATGGTGGCAGATCCATTTTCATTACCTGAAGCTGTAGTTGTCCTTGAAATACCAGGATCAAACAATCCTGGTTTTGACCTAAATAAAGTTGACCATCATGATTTGATTTTGGATGAACCCTTAGATGAAGTGTATGCTACTGTGGAACATAGAATGAAGGAGAGGCTCGACAATAAGGATTATAGCATTATGCATGGTTCCTTAACCAATGAAGAATTTGTGAGATTAAATACTCAATTTATAATTTTTACTATTGTTCATAATCACATATTAATTTTTAGCTGAAAAATCAAGTATTCCATCCAAATTTTAAACTTAATCCTAGTATTAAACCTCAACATATTGATTCATATGATGAAAAGTATAAAGTATTTTTTAATGAAATTTACAACTTGCATCAATTGGGACAAGGTGTAAGTACAATTGGATAGATTTATGCAGAGTTGCAAAACATTGATTAATTAATTGTTTATTTAATGACAACAATTTAATGGGCCATTAATAATGTTAAAAAGATCATTGTCTTACTATTGATTGTACATACAATTTTTAGTGATTGTTTATGTAACCTGGCGCTAAATTGTTTTAAAATGTTTATGTCATTCATAAGTACATTTTCATTACAGGTCAAAGAGAGTATGTTGAAAAATAATGTACCAGATTTACACTGGTTTCAATTGCAAGGTGTAAAAGCTTTGACTGCTGTCAATGGACAAAATTCAGACAAAACTATTGATGGTGAAAAGGTCTTGAATGAAGCTATATCTACTTTGGTCCAGTCATATAATGAAATTTACAATAATGAGGTATTTTTTCAACTCGCATCAATGTACAGTATATTTATTAATTGGAGTCAGTAGTTCTAATTTTAAGAGAATTCTTTTAAGAACTCAGTACTCGATGAAATTTGATGTATTTTTTTTTTTTTAGTGTAATGTTTCATGTATTTATCCTGAACTGCTATGCACTGGTCAATTGTACTGGCCCATGATCTTTGTAACAAAATTAACGCACCTGGGAATATCCCAAATATTTTTTAATTATTGCTGTAATGACTAATTTTGTTACAAAGATTATGGTCCTATAAACTGAAGGTACTCTGTTCACTATAAGAAAGCAATTCTTTCGCACATCTCCCATAATGCGGCTAGAAATTTAGTTCTGAAATAGTGGTAGAAATGATCAAGAATTGCTCTCTAGTTTTTTTCGCCACCCAGTTGCGTTCTAATCGTGAACAGAGTATAATGCATATTAGTTCATGGTGGATATATTAAACATAAAAAAAAATTTTAAAAATGTTACACACAACTTCAACTAGTATTATGTTCTTAATTAGCTATTGGATTAACATTAGTTATCAAAGTGTGAAAAGCATACAAATTTTACAATATTATGATGTATTTTAAGTTGCTTTCATTCATTCATAATTCAACCAATTCAAAAAATTATTTTGAGGCCATAACCAAAAGAAGACAAGATTAGTCATATTATAATTATTAAATTTAAAAAAAAAAGGCCCAATATTAGCATTATATTTCGAAGAACTACTGACTTTCCAATTAATTAACATACTGTAAATATATTTTACCAGATTTAACTTCTTAAAAAAATTTTAAAATCTTTTTAAATATAGTTATTAAATATTTGAATGGAATTTTTTGTAGGTGTTAATAATTGCTATTACCAACAATGCAAAAGAATCGCATAGAAAGAAACGTGAACTTAGTAGCATGGAAAGGGTAAAATTTGTTTTAAAAACAACTACGCTTGATGTTAATTTTATAATAATGTATAATATATTAATAGATTATGTTTGTTTATTTTTTTTAGGATCTCAATGTTGCTGAACCAGTATCAAACGACTTTCCAGTCATATTCAATCTTATACTGTGGTTCGTTGTTATATTTGTCTTCTCCCTTTTAGCCATAGCATGTGAGTATTATTTTTATGTTAATTTTTATAAAAATGAATAAAATATTTTTAAAAAAACATTATTTTATTCGACTTGCATTGTTAACATTTTTATAAAATCACAATTAAATATTAATGTATATGGTCTCTGGGTAACTTAAAAACAAAACATGTGTTATATAAATATTAAAATTAATTTTTTACTCAGGTTTCACATTTCAGTTACTGTTATCACCTTAAATTATTAACTGTGTATAAAACTATTGCATTATAAACGCATACTATTTGCTGAAGACTTCGGTACTTACGAGTCACAAGAGATTTGAATTCTATTGCACATGCTTGTTAATACTCGTCGCATATTTATAATTTATATCACATAATCACTGGTAATATAAATTGCACCTGGTAACAGTTGTACCAATCATATGTGTGAATGCATGATATAAATTGCACTCATACGCAATTTGCCCAAATTCCTCTGAGCAATGTTAGTTTCAAAAATTTAAGCAGTAAAATCCATTGTATATGATCTATGGTTAACACTAAAGTATATAATTGTTAAATTTACAAATCTGTAAATATTTTATTCATAAGAAATTATGATTTATTTATTTTTTACACATTAATCTGTTTATTTCTAATAGATTTTAGTCAATACTTACTTAGTTTAAATTAAAGTACATTAAAAGTTCATCTGTTTAACATCATTGGGATTAATCTATCCTTTCAGTATAATCTATAAAGATAAATAGTAGTTATTTAGTTGAACCATAATTATTGTATTGTGTTATGAATGCTGTGATAATCTTAACTAGCCACAATTTAAAAATATCATTGGCTAAAAAAAAGTCAATTTTACTAGCAAATGTAAACTATAATAATTAAAATATTTATTTCATCAAATCATATTTAACTTATTATTTTTAAAATATTAGATTGTAGGTATCTAGCTACAGTCATTAGTTGTAAATCGGACTGTTAATAAAATAAAATATTAATATATAATGTCTTCATACATCATTACATATTACAAAATCATAATAATTCTTAAATAATTATCAGAATAAATGTTAATTAGAGTATTTTGTTGTAGTTTAAAACAAATCAGAAAAATTAAATTTTTATTTTTCAAGATTTTTGATAAGAGTGCTGTAAAGTATCTAAGTAAAAATATTCATATTCCTTGATGTACATTAATTGGTATCTAATACTTCCTAAAATACTATTTATATCAATCATTCTTTTGAATAGTTAATTTTATGTTGGCACTTGGGACACAATAGTACTTGCAAACAAATATGAGTATTACTCTAATACATTGTATTATTTTATGCAGAGATAAGTACTTAAATATAAGACAATACTCTCTACCAAAAATATTAAACGTTGTGTATCAAAGAGCTATGAAATCATATTATTTGAACTATTATGAAAATTATAATATAACTAGTTGTATTTTTAAATTACACTTAACTTTGAATTTACTTGTTGACATTTATTTATAATATTTAATGCTTGTATTATAAATGTAAAAAAACACATATTATAAAATTGGTGGGTTGTTAATTTCTTCACAAGCTGTAGTACAACGATAAAGACCAGTGTACTAACTTAAATTAAATTCCTTTTGTTCATTCGGTTGTAAAACTGAAAAAAAATGTTTATAAAATAATGAATTGAATATATGTAAAATGATCAATTTTTGTATATTGATTGTTTGGTTTATACAATTTTACTCATACTAATTGAAATATTATTTCTAGTGAGCATTGCCCAAATGGATCCTGGTCGCGATTCAATCATCTATCGAATGACCAGCAATAGAATGAAGAAAGAAAACTAAGTGTTCATAAAATGACATAGCTGAAAAAATCAGTCAGCGCAAGTAATAGTTATGAATTGATTAAAAAAAAAAACAACAACAACTTAAATTTGGCCTAGACTCCATTCCAATTTGTATATAAGTGTTCATGTTTAACACAAATATTATTAATATTGTACTAAGTTTTTGTTTTATTTAATTTAGCATATTGTTTTGAAACAAAAGTTTTTAGTATTTTAGTATTTCTTTATTTTATGAATGTAAATTAAAAAGTTATAAATTGTTTTCAATTTTTTATGTTGTTTAATTACCTTTGATATTTTTAAGTTTTGGTAAATATTAGTATATACCGTTATAGGTCCTTTCTAATTACTATTTATTACTAATGACTAGAGGTCGGATTTATATTCTTTTAAAATTCTTAAAATATGATGTTTTATGTCCTTAAATATGCAAAATATTCTTTTGATATTAAAAAAAAAACTCAGTTTAAATTTATTTTTATTAATTTGGTTTAAATATATGTAATTAAATTAATTTTACAATAACAATTAATAACTATATATTGTTCGATGGATAGTCATGACAGCTAATGAAATAACCGATGTGCTTTCGCAATCGATAAGGAATACCTAGAGATTAATTTTTATTAAAACCCAGAAATAAATCATTTAGTGAACATTGTATTTATCAAAGTGCTTATATACATAAAATATGTTCATTATATGCTGGATATTACAAAAATATTCTCTAACTTCTAAAACATGCTTTTTTATGCAAAATAAATTTTTTCCTGTGAAGTCTGTGTTTCATGATTCGTTAAGATTTCTCGCTCCCATTTAAATGCATAGACTAGAAACAAATATGAAAAATCACAAAAATCCGACCTCTACAAACGAAAAATTATAATAACTTATAATTGTATTTTCCAATTAATTAAAAGGGTACATATTACTAAAGAATGCATGTTCTAATATGTATTTGAAAATATGAAAAAAGCTAAAAAATTCAAGTATGTTATAATAAAACATTTTTCTTAGAAATTAATTTACTTGAAAATACTGATTTAATGGTACTAGTTTTCACTGCTCGTATAGTTTATTATACAATTCTTTTTGTCTAAAATGTTTCATTCTAAATTTGTTGTATGCATAACAGGTGCCTTACATTAAAAATTTGCCATAAGAAAGAAAATATACAGTTTTAACTGCAAAAAGTTGTAATGAACACCTGAAAACTACTAGTCTATACTCCTATAACCACTGCCACACATAAAATACATTATATAGTACATAAATGCAATCACTTAACAACATTGACTGTTGGTTATTTTCAGAAAAATTAATTTAAAATTAAAATACAATACAATATATCATGAAAATATCCACATTGCACTAGATAAACGTAATCAATAAAGATAAATCATGGTTTAAAGAAAATCAACTCCTTTATTTGCTAAATATACCTGTAGAACTGTTGAAGTTACTCAAGTATGAGGAATGAAATCCATTAGCTTCTCAACATGTTCTTTTATTATAGATTTAAAAAACCTAGTTCAATTATTTGTGTACCATGGTAGAATAGGCAACCTGAATAATGCACAATGTTATTTTTTTAAATCCTTGTACCCAAGTTTTCCCTAATTATTTATTTGTATGCTTTGTTTTATCATTTCAAAACTTTATTTTTTAACAAAGGATTTTTTATAGATGTTAGAATATTCACTACTATATTAAATATCTGGTGCACATTTTTAACACAATAATGTGTTAAAATTCTTCAAACGTAACCTACCCAAAACATTTTTTCTTGTCACATATAGTTAAAAGTATTAAACCGTACTCACCATTCATTGTTGCATCTTATTGTTGTTAAAAATGTATTTTACTAGGATCATGTGTTTTTATGACAGTATTGTATTGCCATTGGTATATAAAGGAGTAAAAATGTACACATCTCTTGTCAATAGTTCAGATCACTTATAGCTATTACATTACAAACCTAAATTAACTTGGCTTCTAATTGTCATCTTATGCTTTATTCATCTTAGTAGTTCTCGTAAGACTTATGTTATTATTTTTCCTATTTGGGAATCATTTTTTAGAACTGTTTCAAGTCCAAGGTTTAAAGTTTTTATAATTTTAATTTTTAGTTACTAATAAGACATTTAAAAAATATCCATCAAATGTCTACTTTCATTCAGATGATGATGAGTGAACATTTCCAAGTACATTTTTTAGCATTTGTCAAGGCATTAGTCAATTCAAATTGGTCTAGTAAATACATGTGTACCTAACTAACAAACCTACAAACCTCCACTTTTCATGATTTTTTTGAAAAAACTATGTACTTCAAGTAATATGCAAAATGACTCCTGCAATAACTATGAACTAAACTTGTACTTAAATTGTATAGAAAAAGGTTCAATGAATTAATAAGGTTCTATTGAAGAGATACATTTTTTGACATTGTGGTATGGTTTGTACCACCCTTAGTCCTCACCTCCTTTAAGTGATAGCCTTAGTAGGTACACGGCTATTGAAAATCGTTACTGGTTACTTAGTATTGCAGTATAGTTTAAAATCACACCATTGTTTAGCAAATAGGTACATCAGTGACTGCACACTATTGAATAATAGAGTTTAATAAGACATTAATGTCGATCCAAGATAGAATATTATAGGCTATATTAAAGTATACCTATTACCTATATATAAATATTATATATATATATTAGTATTATACTCGTATATTATCATATTATCATATATTATTGTTATTATATATTTATATACAATTTTTTTTTACTTTTGTAAATTTCAAAGCCTAGTTCTGAATTTCTCACAAGCCTCGAAACTTCTAGAGTTTTGTATTAAGTTATGATTTTGCATTTTTGCCATTAAAACTAAAAACAATATTGTGAGTTTCCCGAAAAAATAATGGACTCGCGACAGTAGGGTAGGTAGCTAAATAGCTTGTATGCAGAGTTCCGTGTTATGAATTGTATGGATTTAAATACTCCCAACACTACATCGGAATATAATATATTTCGGAATCTGAAATACAAAATGTATCGTGTCATCCAAAGATGTAAAAAAACTCGAAAACTGATGATGATTTCATATTATATTATAATATCTATCATCTATGGCGTAAGTCGATTATCGTCACTCATCGGAGACTATATTCACAATTCTAATGATTTCTACGAACAAAAGATAAATATGTAAGGCAACAATAAACCGATGATTAGTTAAACACCACATTTACTCCCAAATTTCATTCTGCTCGAGTAAATTTTATAAAAATATCTCGATCCTTCCAGTTTGTAGTGAGATGAAGAAAGAAGTTCCTTGATATGGTTTCCGCACTCTAAATATGGTACAGCTAAATTTAACCACAAGAGTCGATGTATACGTAAGTTTGATTACCTATTCTCTTACATATTTTTACTTTTTAGTTTTAAAATTAAAATGTATTGCTTCGGACAATTTGCTACCTACCTGGGTGACGTGGACGCATTATGTTTTATTCCCGATCAAATATGCTTGTGCTTCCAACATTTCAACACTATCTTAATCAAAAATCAAATTAATAAATTTAAACAAAAATTAAATAATATACTTCATATTATATTGTTATAATTCAAATTTAAAATTATAAACTATTTTGGTTACCTTACAATTATTGGTTAGATCACATTTCATTAATTCGATGAAAAAACCTCAAATACGGACCTCTTTGGAATAACGATTTAAAATTTGTATTATAGTATAATTATGTCTTTGGTTTTATCATATTGACGTAATTTAATACAATCCATGGCGTTTGTCAATGTCAGTTGCAGAAGACGCAGTCCATTAAATGTTCTACAATTTCAGTTCGCAAAGCAGACTTGAACAAGAAAAATACTGCGTTCCGTACTGTTTTTTTTTCGTAACAATTCAAAATATTTCTGAACTTAAGTTCAATTGTATTTATCTGAAGTTAGTTTGGTTGTGCACACACAATATCACGGATTTCGCTGAAGCCCGAAAGGGTCAATGTTCAAGGTAATTAAGTTTTTTTTTCATATTCCTTTGGGGCTTAAATGTACTTTTTCCTGTTTTTTACTTTTTAAAAATATTTGATGCCATGAAAAATATGCTACCTAAGACATGTAGTAGCGTCTTATTTTATGTCTGAGCACAAAATGCATAAAATACAAGAGATCAAATAATACGAACTCCGCTCGATGTCGTCGTTTTTCCTGCCCCCCCCCCTAATTGAATTTAGTTGGTGCATTGGGGAGGTCAAAATTTAAAATTTTCAGTAGTTTTAAGTTAAAGTTCACAATTATAAGGAATAACTTGAATTTTAAGTAAAACCTGCAGTTATTGACAAAATCGATTTTAGTTTTTGGTGTTTTCTAAAGCAAATAACCCCATATCATTTTAAAAATATTTTGACTTGTTTTGAGCTATTTACGGACATTTTTAGTTTACAATTTATTTAGTTTTTTTTTATGGATGTCAATACACTTTTATTTATTTGGTCAAAAAACTTGATAATTTAATACAAGGCACCAGATATATTTTGATAACAGCAGTTGAAAAATATTAAAAATACAAATGCACGAATTTGTCTTATAATCAAAGCATTTAAAGTTCGAATTTTGACCATGTACGTTAAAGTCATAAAAATGTGCAAATAATTTTAAATTAGTAATTCATAAATATATTTCTTTTTTAATCTGAGGTTTTGAAATTTAATACAAGATTCCTTTCAAGTTTGTCTACCCTCATCAAAAAAAAAAAAATTCTACCAGGAAGTCGAATAAAATTCTTATGAGTGATTAAGTTGAAATTTCTGCAACGTTTTTATTCAACACGTTTGTGTATCATCTGAAATATAGGACTAGTCAAACACTTTACTTTGGTTGGATAGTGTAGGCGTTATTCAACTGATGGGACGACAATCAATACATCTTAATTTCTACTTACATTATTTGCACCAAACACTCTGGTAAATTGTGATTTTGTGTCCTATAATTTGTCAATAGAATACTTGTGTCAACAAATATTGCAGACAATTTAAATGTACTTTAAATACAGTCATATAGACGCATTGGTGACTAATATTACTGATCCAAGGGGTTCATTGAGAATTTTAAGTAGCAACAAAATAAATTGATAGTGTTTTATATTAATAATATTGTACATCATTAATTATAATTAACATTTTTTCCCTTCAATAACAAATATATAATCACCCTTGGTTGTTACTTGATTAACAGTTCTATTATAATATTATTTCATCTTCAAGAAATATTAAACATAATTTATACTGATACTTTAATTTTTTATTCTCAATTGGCAATTTTCCGATTTCAATTTTTGCTTCATTCACATTTTTTGATTGAATTTTCTTATCAAATTCGCTTGACGTCTGAAACCGTGCAACTGCGTTTGTCAATTCATCGTTTTTGTATTGAGTATATTCAACTATTCTTGCATTTTGTGGATTTTTGTCTCAAACTAAAGTAAAACATACTAGAATTAACACATCATTTAAGTAATATTATTTACATAGTTTATTAGTTTATGAGTAAATAGTTATTTTCAACGAGAAAACGTTGTTTACATGTATAATACTAAAATGTATTAAGCACAGAGATCGCTAGTAAGTTAATCACTTCAGGTTATTTTGAGAAAATTGTTTTACCTCTTCAATAGTAGATTTCATTTGGTTTGCTTCTAATTGTTGACGTTTTCGGCATTTGATATTAAATTCTAATTGCGTTATCATATATTCCTCTAATTCCTCTGCCTGTTCGGTCTTATTTCGTGGTTCATCATTTTTTTGTTTCACGCCTTCAAAGACTTTATTTGCTTTCCAGATGTTTGGTAAAAATAAAAATAAACAAAGATTGACATCACTTGTATTATATTCGACAAAATTGTTTCATGACAAGGTAATACGTATTTTTTTTCTTGTACTCCATTTTCTAAAATTCATTTCTTACTTGTCTGCAGAGTAAAGTTGATTGTCTATTTAGTAATTTACATTTCTGATCATAATCTTCCTTTTGAATCTGTTAAAAAATATACTTCTGTATTATTATTCAATGCAACTGACATAATATTATTGTTTCGTACTGTTACCTCTGGTTTTTGAATCTTTGAATCTTTATCCAAGACTTCTCATTTATTATAGAAGATAGTATATTTTTGTTTTTCGAGTAACGCTCTTGTAGCTTTTTCTTTATCTACTAATTCTACTGCTCTTTTTACATCATACAAGCTTTTAATCACTACGCCTCGATATTGAAGCTGTTTTTTCTCTTGACTGTCGTATTTTAAAAGTAAACTATATTGAACAAAACAAATGGTCTATATATTTTACTTGCATTTCTTCAATTATAGTATAAGGTTAAGACGTAACCTAACCTTTTGATCACTTGTTCCAAAGCAAATATTTTATTTTCATAATGTCTTTCTTTTATTGAACCCGAAATGAATAATTAATCCAAAATTTAAAACGTGACAACCGAAAACTGTTATAGGATATGTATGTATGTGACAACCATTCAAATCATTAAAAATACTTAATATCCATGCGACCAGGGGTATACACAGCAACTTACGCTCATATTCAATGTACTTAACTGCATGTAGTAGGTATATTTTTAGCATTGAATTAAATTCTAAATTTTTTTTAAATTATAAGAATATTATTTTGATCAAACCAACTTTACGCACCAATATTAAATTTATAATTTGCTACGTATTGTATTTCAATATATATAACCTACATTTAAAGTAACAATTGTCGTGACTATTCGTAACACGGTCACGAAATTGTTATTAATTACTTAATAAATATTATAAATTGCTAAACACAAATCCAGTTTATAATTATTATTGATAATGGTAGATTATAGTTATAGAATTTACCGAATTTTATTGCCGGTTCCTTGTCTTCAATTTTACCATATTTCGACTAGTACTGTAAAATACAATTTTTATTACACACTTAATATAAACTCTCACTCTTAAGTGAGTTCAAAAACGACATTTTTTAAATTTTATAAAATTAATTGGACCTACCCTAACTTTATCAAACAATACACAAAATATATTTACTTTATGCTACGAACAATATAATTTTGAACTGAATTCTGTGAACTCAATAAAACAAAAATATTTATAAATAACGAAATAACGTCTTTATACTTTTTAATATTAAATTAATAAAGAAACATGTTTTTTTTTAAGATTCCACTATTTAATAACTCGCTTTGACAAATGACAATATCTTACGAGAGGACAGTCGAGGTTACTGAATCTCTTCGACAGATCAAGATTGAGTTTCATACATTCTTCTAATTTTTGCTTTATTATTGTTATGTCTTCTCCTGTTTATATGAACCTTGTTTTTTGTTTCTCCAATTGATGCTAGAATACATATTATAATATATATTATGCAATGCATGTAAATACTAATTTTTGAATTACAGCGATTTCGATTAATTTCTTATTTTCCAATTGCTCTGCTAATATTATTCGTTTAAATGTGCAGTTCATTTGTCTGTATAATCCATGTTCATTTTCTTTCAATTCGTCGACCGTTATCAATAATTCATTTGCTTCGTCCTAAAAAAAATATTCACCAAGTTAACCATTTTCTAAATTATGTTTAATAATTAAAATGATAAATAAAATAATCACCAATTTTCTTTGCAAGCTATTGTTCTGTTTGAGCAGNATATATTTTACTTGCATTTCTTCAATTATAGTATAAGGTTAAGACGTAACCTAACCTTTTGATCACTTGTTCCAAAGCAAATATTTTATTTTCATAGTGTCTTTCTTTTATTGAACCCGAAATGATTAATTAATCCAAAATTTAAAACGTGACAACCGAAAACTGTTATAGGATATGTATGTATGTGACAACCATTCAAATCATTAAAAATACTTAATATCCATGCGACCAGGGGTATACACAGCAACTTACGTTCATATTCAATGTACTTAACTGCATGTAGTAGGTATATTTTTAGCATTGAATAAAATTCTAAATTTTTTTTAAATTATAAGAATAATATTTTGATCAAACCAACTTTACGCACCAATATTAAATTTATAATTTGCTACGTATTGTATTTCAATATATATAACCTGCATTTAAAGTAACAATTGTCGTGACTATTCGTAACACGGTCACGAAATTGTTATTAATTACCTAATAAATATTACAAATTTCTAAATACAAATCCAGTTTACAATTATTATTGATAATGGTAGATTATAGTAAGAATTTATCGCATTTTATTGCCGGTTCCTTGTCTTCAATTTTACCATATTTCGACTGGTACTGTAAAATACAATTTTTATTACACACTTAATATAAACTTTCACTCTTAAGTGAGTTCAAAAACGACATTTTTTAAATTTTATAAAATTTATTGGACCTACCCTAACTTTATCAAACTATACACAAAATATATTTACTTTATGCTACGAACAATATACTTTTGAACTGAATCTGTGAACTCAATAAAACAAAAATATTTATAAATAACGCAATTACGACTTAATACTTTTTAATTAAATTAATAAAGAAACATGTTTTTTTTTAAGATTCTACTATTTAATAACTCGCTTTGACAAATGACAATATCTTACGAGAGGACAGTCGAGGTTACTGAATCTCTTCGACAGATCAAGATTGAGTTTCATACATTCTTCTAATTTTTGCTTTATTATTGTTATGTCTTCTCCTGTTTATATGAACCTTGTGTTTTGTTTCTCCAATTGATGCTAGAATACATATTATAATATATTTTATGCAATGCATGTAAATACTAATTTTTGATTTACAGCGATTTCGATTAATTTCTTATTTTCCAATTGCTCTGCCAATATTATTCGTTTAAATGTGTTCATTTGTCTGTATAATCCACGTTCATTTTCTTTCAATTCGTCGACCGTTATCAATAATTCATTTGCTTCGTCCTAAACAAAATATTCTCCAAGTTAACCATTTTCTAAATTATGTTTAATAATTAAAATGATAAATAAAATAATCACCAATATTCTTTGTAAGCTATTGTTCTGTTTGAGCAGACTCGAATATCGAAGTATTGATTCTGCACATTCCTTATTCATAGTTTTTATTTTTTTTTCCAGATCTGTTACAAGTTTTTCAGAATCTGTTAATTTGATCTGCTAAAATATTTTCTTGTGTAATATATTATACTTAATTTATATCAAACGCAACACATAGTCATGTAATACTTACCAATACATTCTCAACCTTAGTCTCGAGAATTTTATTGGCCCTTGCCAATCCTGTAATTTGAATTTCTTTGCAACGTAATTCGTCCGCATAGTTACTAATTTGTGTTTTCCGTGCTTTAATCTCAATCTGAAATCATACACGTGAAATAAATTTATAACTTTTTAAAATATCGAAATCACTTCAAGTTATTCAATCTTAGCTTTTGTTTTGTCATTTTCAGCTTTCGTTCGAAGTTTATGCTTGATTTCTTTTTCTTTTTCAAGTTTACCTTTCGCGTGAATTTTTTCAAGCTTTCTGTTTACAACCTAAATATTTATTTTATATTTACTTATCGTGGACATAATGTGGACGTCAATCGTATTGGTATTATACTATTGTGACTAAAGCTGCATTACTCTCCGTGAATTCTTTATATTTTTTTTCCAATTCTTCGCGTTTTTCTTTCGAATTCCCATTGGCCATTTACAATTTTTTTTATCCGTGATTAGCTTATTGATTTCCTTATTTAATTCCAAGACTTTTGCTTGGACATTTGGTAGTTTGATTGTATTTTCCTTAAAAAATACTATATAATGATATATTTAATACTAAATGAATACAAGGGTACTCGTTTGAATGTAATTTAAATTATACGTAAGAAAAATTATAGAAATACCTGCAGACCAATACGGAATATTTGTTGTTTATCGAAGATGTGTTTACAGTAAACATCGGTATGTGTAGCTACTCTCATAATCAGAATTAAAATAAAAAAGAAAAAACGGACCTACATAATTTATTCAAAGTAGGTATTCATTTTAATTCTGATTATGAGAGTAGCTACACATACCGATGTTTACTGTAAACACATCTTCGACAAACAACGAATATTCCGTATTGGTCTGTAGGTATTTCTATAATTTTTCTTACGCATTATTTAAATTACATTCAAACGTGTACCCTTGTATTTATTTAGTATTAAATATATCATTATATTGTATTTTTTAAAGAAAATTCAATGAAACTACCAAATGTCCAAGCAAAAGTCTTGGAATTAAATAAGGAAATCAATAAGCTAATCACGGATAAAAAAAATTTGTAAATGGCCAATGGGAATTCGAAACAAAAACGCGAAGAATTGGAAAAAAAATATAAGAATTCACGGAGACCAATGAAGCATTAGTCACAATAGTATAATACCAATACGATTGACGTGCGCACTATGTCCACGATAAGTAAATCTAAAATAAATACTTAGGTTGCGAACAGAAATATTGAAAAAAATTACAAGAAATGTAAACTAGCAAAAGTAAAAGAATTCAAGGATAAACTACGAACAAAAGCTGAAAATGACAAAACAAAGCTAAGATTGAAGAAGAACTTGAAGTGATTTCGATATTTAAAAAAGTTATAAAATTATTTCACGTGTATGATTTCAGATTGAGAATACAGCATGGGAAACACAAATTAGTAACTATGCGGACGAATTACGTTGCAAAGAAATACAAATTACAGGATCGGCAAGGGCCAATAAAAATTCTCGAGACTAAGGTTGATAATGTATTGGTAAGTATTACATAACTATGTGTCGTGTTTGATATAAATTAAGCATACTATATTTCATAAGAAAATATTTTCGCAGATAAAATTAACAGATTCTGAAAAACTTGTAACAGATCTGGAAAAAAAAATAAAAACTATGAATAAGGAATGTGCAGAATCAATACTTCGATATTCGAGTCTGCTCAAACAGAACAATAGCTTACAAAGAATATTGGTGATTATTTTATTTATCATTTTAATTATTAAACATAATTTAGAAAATGGTTAACTTGGAGAATATTTTGTTTAGGACGAAGCAAATGAATTATTGATAACGGTCGACGAATTGAAAGAAAATGAACGTGGATTATACAGACAAATGAACACATTTAAACGAATAATATTGGCAGAGCAATTGGAAAATAAGAAATTAATCGAAATCGCTGTAAATCAAAAATTAGTATTTACATGCATTGCATAAAATATATTATAATATGTATTCTAGCATCAATTGGAGAAACAAAACACAAGGTTCATATAAACAGGAGAAGACATAACAATAATAAAGCGAAAATTAGAAGAATGTATGAAACTCAATCTTGATCTGTCGAAGAGATTCAGTAACCTCGACTGTCCTCTCGTAAGATATTGTCATTTGTCAAAGCGAGTTATTAAATAGTAGAATCTTAAAAAAAAACATGTTTCTTTATTAATTTAATTAAAAAGTATTAAGTCGTAATTGCGTTATTTATAAATATTTTTGTTTTATTGAGTTCACAGATTCAGTTCAAAAGTATATTGTTCGTAGCATAAAGTAAATATATTTTGTGTATTGTTTGATAAAGTTAGGGTAGGTCCAATAAATTTTATAAAATTTAAAAAATGTCGTTTTTGAACTCACTTAAGAGTGAGAGTTTATATTAAGTGTGTAATAAAAATTGTATTTTACAGTACCAGTCGAAATATGGTAAAATTGAAGACAAGGAACCGGCAATAAAATGCGATAAATTCTTACTATAATCTACCATTATCAATAATAATTGTAAACTGGATTTGTATTTAGAAATTTGTAATATTTATTAGGTAATTAATAACAATTTCGTGACCGTGTTACGAATAGTCACGACAATTGTTACTTTAAATGTAGGTTATATATATTGAAATACAATACGTAGCAAATTATAAATTTAATATTGGTGCGTAAAGTTGGTTTGATCAAAATAATATTCTTATAATTTAAAAAAAATTTAGAATTTAATTCAATGCTAAAAATATACCTACTACATGCAGTTAAGTACATTGAATATGAGCGTAAGTTGCTGTGTATACCCCTGGTCGCATGGATATTAAGTATTTTTAATGATTTGAATGGTTGTCACATACATACATATCCTATAACTGTTTTCGGTTGTCACGTTTTAAATTTTGGATTAATTATTCATTTCGGGTTCAATAAAAGAAAGACATTATGAAAATAAAATATTTGCTTTGGAACAAGTGATCAAAAGGTTAGGTTACGTCTTAACCTTATACTATAATTGAAGAAATGCAAGTAAAATATATAGACCATTTGTTTTGTTCAATATAGTTTACTTTTAAAATACGACAGTCAAGAGAAAAAACAGCTTCAATATCGAGGCGTAGTGATTAAAAGCTTGTATGATGTAAAAAGAGCAGTAGAATTAGTAGATAAAGAAAAAGCTACAAGAGCGTTACTCGAAAAACAAAAATATACTATCTTCTATAATAAATGAGAAGTCTTGGATAAAGATTCAAAGATTCAAAAACCAGAGGTAACAGTACGAAACAATAATATTATGTCAGTTGCATTGAATAATAATACAGAAGTATATTTTTTAACAGATTCAAAAGGAAGATTATGATCAGAAATGTAAATTACTAAATAGACAATCAACTTTTCTCTGCAGACAAGTAAGAAATGATTTTTAGAAAATGGAGTCCATGAAAAAAAGTACGTATTACCTTGTCATGAAACAATTTTGTCGAATATAATACAAGTGATGTCAATCTTTGTTTATTTTTATTTTTACCAAACATCTGGAAAGCAAATAAAGTCTTTGAAGGCGTGAAACAAAAAAATGATGAACCACGAAATAAGACCGAACAGGCAGAGGAATTAGAGGAATATATGATAACGCAATTAGAATTTAATATCAAATGCCGAAAACGTCAACAATTAGAAGCAAACCAAATGAAATCTACTATTGAAGAGGTAAAACAATTTTCTCAAAATAACCTGAAGTGATTAACTTACTAGCGATCTCTGTGCTTAATACATTTTAGTATTATACATGTAAACAACGTTTTCTCGTTGAAAATAACTATTTACTCATAAACTAATAAACTATGTAAATAATATTACTTAAATGATGTGTTAATTCTAGTATGTTATACTTTAGTTTGAGACAAAAATCCACAAAATGCAAAACCAGTTGAATAATTCTAAAAAAAAAAAAACGATGAATTGACAAACGGAGTTGCACGATTTCAGACGTCAAGCGAATTCGATAAGAAAATTCAATCAAAAAATGTGAATGAAGCAAAAATTAAAATCGGAAAATTGCCAATTGAGAATAAAAAATTAAAGTATCAGTGTAACTTATGTTTAATATTTCTTGAAGATGAAATAATATTATATTGGAACTGTTAATCAAGTAACTACCGCATGCATATCTATTTTTTTAGATTTGAAAACAAATGTATTTCGAAGTTGAAGGACGAAAATAAATCATTAAAATTCAGATTGATGACTGGAGAACGGAATTTGTTATACCTTCAAACGAAATTCGATAAATTGTACAACCAGAAACAACGCCAGATAAATGCACCGAGCATACCCGAGTACTTGAAAAAAATAGTTATAATGCCCTATAAATTATAAACTGTTTTGATCAATGTGTGTTGCAGATTGTAGTTGCAGTGAAGAAGAAAGTCTGTTTTCCAGTTGTGTTCAAGCACAAAATGTCTACAGTTTTATAATATACATTACTTATTGTTATACATGAATTTTATAATATAATAAATATACATATAAAAAAAATGTTTCATTTTTTGAATAGTTTAAAGATTCAAAAGCAATCGAACGTTTGAATTTACCTTTTTGAACGAGTAACTAATAAAGTAATCTATAATCATTATTTTAGTAATTATATACATTATATATTACCTATGTATTATATTATAGTTGTTATTATAGTAACCTCTAACATAAGTAGGGCTTGTTTTAAAATTTCTTGATGAATATTTTGTTATTTAGTCATCGATTATGCATTGACTTCTACAAATATTGTTAAAACGAAAGAGAGCACTTTAGGCATTTAAGGTATTTTGTTACAAAAATGAAAATAACAGAATCCATAAAAGATCTTAGAATCAATTTCATGGTGGTTGCAATCATAATATACTAAGCCGTGTAAGTAAAGTCAAGAAGGTCAAGAACGGCCAGCTAAAAGGAAAAAGTATGTGAAAACAACTACACGCATCAAAAAAGAATTGCAAGTGCAGCTTACCATGAAAGCAATCTTGAAGAATATTTAATCGGAATTGCTGATAATTTACAAATGTAAGGTATTTTTTATTATGGAAACATTTTTACATAGGTACATATTTTTTATGATCATTATTATTAAACGACGTTATAGAAACATTTTTATACCTGTGGAAATCAAAATAAATTTAAAAAATTTTATTTTTATTTTTTACGGGGAAAATCACTTGATGGGGAAATGTATTACGGGGATGTGACCTGTATATATCCGTTTGCTAGTCCTATATTTCAGATGATGTACACAAGGCCAAATGTAAACTCCTACACAAATAACCTTTTTACCTGAATCATCATTAAATGTATAAACTCCTACACTAATAACCTTTTAAAAGTTTTACCTGAAAATCAAAGATAATGTAATCTCCTAGATAGAAATTTTTCCCTTTAAAAAAATGGGGTAATATTACTTAAATTCACAATTTTGAAGTTGAAAAGCTCAAAAAGCTCAACATTATCATAACTTGAAAATAATAAATATATATTATTCAATAAACAAACGCTTGAATGGAGCTTGTTTATAGCGCATTAGCGCTGCAGTATGATGATTATCGAAGGTTAGATTATATCCATATTATATACTATACTATACGTTCATATCGGCACTTGCGGTACAAAATTTTTTAAATAGATCAGCGATGTTTGGTATTATGATAATGATTATTGTTTTTTTAACAGTTTTATTATATTTTTCAAGACCATATTAATTTTTTGTAGGAGTTAACACTATCTTTGATAGGAGTTAACACTATATTTTGTGGGAGTTAACACTATCTTTTGTAGGAGATAACACTACATTTGTAAGAGTTTACCATTCGGCGTACACAAACGTGTTGAATATATACTATTGTTTCATGTAAGTACACCACATATATATATTATTCGTCTTACAATGGTAAGATGAATACTAACCTAACCTTTGATTGTTTCGGAATATTTCGATTTCCCTCGAGTTATAGAGACACGTCTCCAGCAAAAAGCGAACAAACTTTTATTCGCTACTACATACGTCATGTAGGACAGCGTAAAATGTTGGAAATGCGCAGGTACATCACTGTGCAATATAAAACAGTGCAGTGTTATTGATTATAATATTGCACATTTGCATCCTAAAAATACTTTTCCAATAAATGGGTAACGGGCTCAAAATTCAAACCGAAACTATTCAACAGCATTTATACATTTGAATATGATTTTTCGTAAAGTTTTCGTCGTCATTGTTGCTTAATAACAGAAACGTTTATTTCATGATTCATAGATTTCCAGGAAAAATATCGAGTAGTTGGTACTTGTGTAAACAAAATCGATTTGAAAAAAAAATATTTATTTATTTATAAAAGTATAGCATATGTTATAATAATAGATAATTATATAATATTAATTTATGGTCGCAATATATATATATATTTCATATATGTGTTATTATTATATGATATACATATTTACACAGTACTCACGACCAATTTGATTACGTTTTTTTATTTTTATTATTAACTGTGCATGTCGTCTTAGGTCCATGCACAACTGAATATTATAATAAATTGCATTTCTCGTGTTTACAAACACTATACATTTATAAATATAAATTTTATTATTATTATTATTATTATGGTTTAGACTTATAGTTCTCTTAAACACAGTATTATATTATTATATATTGATACATAAATATTTCATTGTACTCTACTATAATGCGTAGGTATTATTAATTATTATCAAGGTAATAATAATAATAATGATGATGATAATAATTAATAATTAAAAGCTGGTAATGTTATAATATATTATTATATCGATCGCTGTATACATAATATTGTTTTAAACGCTATAAAATAATATTATATATATATAATATGATATCTTTAAGACTAATGTTATACATAAATATAATATTTACAAAGATAAAAAAAAAAAATAATAATGTACATGTTGTATGATGATAATAATAATATTATACGTTATAATATCATTTGTTAACATTTGTTATGATTATTCGACGACTCTCGTCCGCTGCGACCGACCATTTCTGTCGCCAAGTCATGACATATTTTAAATTAATAACAATCCATTGCAATATTATAACAAAATGTGTGCTATTAAGATAACATATTGCGGTGTAGTCCAAGCGATCGGTGTAAAAAAATGCGCCTCATTCGCACGAAATAAACAATTTTTTTATTTTATAATAATATACAACTTATAATATTAATACGGTTATCATCTAATTCGAGCATTGCCCGTACGTCATTCGTCATACTGCTTACTACAGTAGATGTGCTTACAAATAAATAAAATAACTTAAACAGACGTCTATATAATAGTATAATGTCGGAACTTTGTGAAATATGTCTTAAACGTCTGCGCCCTGCCCAGAATACGGTGTGTTGCGCCGTATTCTGCGCATTGCTGTGTGCACGATATGAACGCGTATATAGGTACACCTATACACGTCATTATTTTTTATCGATTTTTTTGAAATACATTTTTGCGATCGGGTAAAAAAGGCAAAGTAATAACTATGCCGCGCGCGCAGCACGATGGCCGATTTGTCTTTATCGTTTTTGGCGGTTTGTGTGTCGACAACGTGTACTTAAAATCAAGGATCAGTTCGAGCTTCATTTGATGATGTTCGTTGCTTTCGGCCATAGAATCACGGCGCGTTTGTTTTTGGCGAATGAAAAATCGGAATCGGAATCGACAGATCGCACACGACCTGCCGGTATGCGATTACATATTATTATGGATTACAACTTTAAGGGTGTGTTTGTGTGGGTTGGAATTGTTGGGGTTCGGGTCGTCGGAAAATTATTGTTTAAGCTGGTGGCGAGTGGCCCACAGCGTGGCCGGAGTGGCCCTACGAACTGGCCATCTTGACGAACTCGGCGGCTTCGAACGCCGCGCCGTGCATGTACGGTCCCTGTGCGGACGGCGGAGCGCCGCACGACATCGCCTTAGCGTTGTTCATGGACCGGACCCTCAAGAACAGGAACGTGACCACCAGACAGGCTACCACCAACACGGACAGGAGCATGGCCAGACCGGCTACGAACGACGGGACGCTGATGCACACGCTGTCCGCCGAGTGGCCGGACCGGGTGGACATGACGACCGTGTCGCCGTTACCGCCGCCGCCGCCGTTGGTGCCGTTACCGCTGTTGGGCACGTTCAACGCGAAGTTGACGTCACCGGGCGCGACCACCTGTATGACGCGGCTTGTGTTGACGTCCAGCTCGGGATCGCCGGTGGACCGACGGTGGTGTCGGTGTGGCTTAGCGGCGGCGTCCATGTCGACGGACCGCGGACGGCCGCCCAACGACACCAGGTTCATGTGCTGTTGTTGCTGTTGGTCGTCACTGCCGACGGTGCCCTGTCGCTTGACGGTAGCGTACGACGCACCGTGGCCGGGCAACGGTGGAGGCGGAAGGTTCAGACTGTCGTCGTCGTCGTTACCGTCATTGTGGTCGTCACCGGCCGCTGCCTCCGCGTCCTTCTGAGACGGTTTAGGGCTGCTGGCAGATGGCGGCGCCGCGTTCGGTAAAACTATTTCCGGTTTCAGTTCAGAGTATGCACCGGCTGGCCCGGACGGGTGTCTCGGGTCCGGATAAGCGGGGTAGTCGGCCAACTGCGGTGGTGGTGGAGGTCCGTACTCGTTGGGGTGCACCGAGTTGAGGCCGGCAGACGCGTAGTCTCCGCCGTTGGCGTCGGCCGCGTGTGGTGGCAGGGCGTAGTCGCCGGGGCACTTGGGTTCGGGGCAGTGGTAACGACACACTTGGATGACGCACTGGAAGTGCACGTTCATCGAGTCGGGGAACTTGAACGCCTGGAAGTACGTGAACGACACGACGGACGCGGACGGCCCGAAGTTCTTGATCTTCTGGAACTTGTACATGATCTTCGGCCGGATGACGCAACCGTTGTGGTCGACCAGCTGTATGGGCGTTCGCTTGCCGTCGTGCGCCACGCAGTTGCGCACCAGCATGTCGAACTTGTTCTCCTCGTCCTTGATGGCCAGAACCATGGTCATGGTCTGCCCGATCTTGACGATGCCCGACACCTCGGACGCCCACGGTCCCTTGCCGACCTGGATCTGCATCCAACACTGCAGGTTGTCGCCGAGGAAGTTGGCGGTGACCGCGTGCAGCATGTCCACCTGGAACGGTTGGAAGGTGACCGCCTTCTCGTAGAAGTCGTACCACGTGCACCGCAACTTGCGAGCCTGGTCCCACACCTCCTGCACGTACGGGTCGTACTGGATGATGATGGTGTTCTCCACGTAACTGCCGCTGGGCGTCTGCCCGTAACCGGACACGGCACCACCGCCGCCGCCGCCGGCACCGCCCGACGACGTCATGCCGCAACTGTTCAGCAGTATCTCGAACGTGGCGCTCAGGTGACCGGTTCCGGGTTTCACGTGCACGCAGTGCGGATCGCTGTAGAAACCTGCGAAAATTGTACAATTCGTTTAGTTGACGTCTCTGTTTTATTAGAATTATTATGAGTATCAGCGCCCGTAAAAGTTTAATAAGAGTGCATTTGCAAATGCAGATTGCAGTAATGCACGTCATAATGTCATGCGAGTACGTGCTTTAACAATATCGCGTTCTGTGAGTAGTCCAAGGTATCCTTTTTTTTTCCTTTAACTGCGCCCCCTCGTACAGTCATATATCTATTCGCAACTGGATTTAGGTATTTATTGTGCCACGTATGAGTTAAATCTAGTGGGTGTGTGGTGGAGTAGAACGGGGTAGGAAAAAAATCTATTAGGCAAAGGCACCGTATCGGATATATTGAGACACTGCGGTAGTACTGTAATTTGTCCAATTTAGAAAATAGATTTTACAAAACACGGTAATATGGTAATACGGTTTCCGTCACGGAAACCGACTGCTGTGCAGACCTGTCTCGTGATAATATATATTTTATGACGAGAAACGCGTTTTCTTCGCACAACTCCGAATTTTCAGACGCATCTTTAAGTAGTTTGGGCTCGGCGCAGTTTGATGTATACTTGCCACTACATTGTTATGTCTGTTCTATACAATAATTAATACGTAGGTGCGTATACTATTATTACGCATGATGCGCGTACGCGTGCAGAGATGTGGTGTAAACGATTTCTTTTTTTTTGTCAAATAGCTGGCACCGCGGGAAGTCTCCCATCATACCGTGCTTGGTCGCATTAACGAACTGTACGAAACCACTTTGGAAAAGCATATCATATTATAATATATAATATTACGGTACACGTACACGGACCGATAATTACGATTTACGAGCTGCAGCGGTCGGTCAATTAGAGTAAAAACAACAACGGAAAAAAAATGAAATACCAACAGCGACTACAACTGCAGCAGTATGCGACTTTCAGCGTATTTAATAATAATAATAATAATAATAATATATGGTAGTTGTACGCGTGTGTATGCGATAGAGAGTGGCTCCGCGAGAAGTTTCATAAATATTAATTAAAAATACGCGTACGAGGGCATTTAGTGGGTCAGCGGTGTGCTTAGATGTATATAGGGGCTCTAAATACGGGTCAAGCGAGAGATGACGTGTACGGCGGCGGCGGCGGCGGCGGTCACCGCTCAACAAAATTACGAAAAACACAGATATATAAAAATACTAGATAGCCGACTTGGAAATGATTTTGAAGCCCACGAAATGGTCGAAATTCTCTTCTCTAAGAGGTAAATGTTTACATTTTCACAACACTGATATATGATATTTTGTAAACATTCACCTCTTATAGATAAGAGAATCTCGGCCATTTTGTAGGCTTCATAATTTTTACATTGTAGGAATAGGGAGTCGTCTATCTAGTATTTTTATATATCTGTGACGAAAAACGTTTATAATATTGTAGTAAGTTTGATACTTTTCTACCGTTTTACCTATTTATTTTTTCTTTTCGTCTCAAAGTTTAACTATCATTCTTCCAGCATAATTATTATGAAATCACTAAATAATGTTACATTATCTTGTGATTGTCGAAAAAATCCCATCCGCGGTAAAAATTGTTTTCTAAATCTCCTGTGCGCTCCGAGAAGTTAATAATTGTATCATTTATTATTATTTGTTTCAAGTGATTTACCGATGAAAATACATTGTTACGATACGTATAATAAAAAATACGTCATACGAATCGTGTGCTCGTAAAAACGAAAAACACCTCCAGCCGTCGGCACAGCTCGTATTAGAATTATAAGTCATATAGGGTCTCGTTAAAAAAAAATTGAACAGACCGCACGATGGACGCCCAATAGAGTACGCGTCATCGTAGTCAATAGTGTCGATTCGAAAAACAAAATCTCTTTTTCCGACGGGAATGTCCGACGAGAGGGCTGCGCGCGTTAACGCCAATAACGTCTCGTGCAGAGCTCCCCCCGCTCAGATTTCCAGTCTCCTGCTGCCTCGGTGACCTCCCGACAATTTTTTGAAATCCCAGTGAACGCAACGATAATATTATTATACATAAATCATTATTGAATATATACGCACCTTTGGAGAAAATTACTCCGTAGAACGGCCTGTCGAATTCGATGTTCACTCGCATGTGCGTTTTCTCGCACTGCACCTGCAGGTGTTTGATCTTGACGGCGTCCGGCACGGCCTGCAGCGGCCACGTGTCGTCATGAGGCCCCTGTAGCGGACCTCCGGATGGCAGCGGAAGTCCGACGTCGTAACCGCCACCGGATCTGTGTTCGAGCGGAAGTGCCGCCGCGTTGTTGTTCTCCGGCCCCAGACTACCGTCGCCACTGGTGCTCTGCAAAGACCGAACGATTATAATGTGAGTTGTAAATTATAATTGTTGTTATTGTTGTTATTATTGTCGATTTCATAAAACATGTGATTGTCGTCGCGGGGACGTGTGTACGCAAAGGCGGTGTTTGGGGATGGGGATGATAATACCCCCATTCTGCTCGTCTTGTTATGTAATTATAAATATTGTATAAAATCATTTTGTAATTCATAGTTTAAAAATATTATTGTAATAATTATTAGTGACGTTTTTCCCGCACGTATATCGTTGTACGAATGCAAGACACTAACTTAAACTTTGTGCGATTGTTTTTAGCAGCCCATTTTTTTTTTATAACCTTAACTTTATTGTAATTTGTATACAGTAATGTAATTATGAGTATATTTGGGCGAAACACTCTTAAAAAAAATACTAGATACTCTACTGAAACCGAGTTATGGAAGGTGATTATCCGGGATCGTATAAAACTACACTTTTGTTGGCTATATATTATATATACCAGACAATTTTCTTTAAAGGATAGTCGGCTTTTAAAATATTTTAATTGCATTTCGTACAGATTATTTTAAGAATATCGTGTTGTTAAAAACAAAACAAAATTTAAATTTTTTGCAGATAAATTGCGTATGCTGCACCTCCATGTGATATTCCTGATGCAGGTCAGCACTCAGCACTTATCGTCGGCACTTGAAACGGTGTTTCGCACAATACTAACTACTTAAAATTCAATATGACCTACAGGTCATACTTCGATACGAGCCCGTCAGAGCAGTTTCTTATAAATGCTTAAGTGTTTACATCCGTATAATAATATTATACAGCGTGTTAACGACAACACTACATATCCGAAATTGCACTATATACAGTCGACTCACTCGATCCTGCGTCCTAAACTCGGCTACTGTTTATTTTATAAGCTATACAGCCTACGTAATATAATAATAATTATTTTTTAATTACATAATGGAATTGGTGGTTGGACTATAATTCTCTGTGCGTATTCGTGTGTATTATGTAGGTAACACGATATTAAGATAATGACGAAAACGCGCATTTCGCGTTTCACGGTAAAATGCTATAATTACTGCCCACTATTACAAGGAAGATTAGCGCGTCGACCGATTGACGTTGATTTGAATATAAAAATGCATACTATGCCAATAATAATTAATAATGCGTAGCGTGATCTCGTGAATCGATTAAGGTATAAGGTATTAGATTATCCACTTATGTACATATATTATTACCATATTACTGTAATATATTTTTTCTTACGATATTCATATTATTACGAAATAAAAATTAAAAAGTGAGTTTGAGACTTTTTTGTAGCGGACAGTCCAAGCCAAATAAAAAAAAAAAGTCATGATATGTAAATTTAAAATTACTCCATATAATTTATGATTATATAATATAGAAACATTATAGTTTATTTTCTCGATACAGTTAATTTACGCGGGCTAACTACCTGTGGAACGACGTTAAACTGTACGCTGCAAAAAACAATCATAGAAATAAAGAAAATAATTCATTGCACGCAAATTTAACGTGTGGCATGTGTTTGTTTTTAAATAATTATTAATAGTATAATATTGTAATTAGAAATCGTTAATTAATGTTGCACGTCGTGAAAATGTACATCCGAAACCACAATAATATAGTGCGCAAGTAATATTATTGTGGTTATTGACGAAACACGGACGTGTCGACAAAAACGTCATATTGTTATATAATATTATACTGAACACTAAAGGTAAAGCTGTACTCGGGGGGGTCTATAAAATACAAAAACAAATCGATATTATAATAAAATTATTGTATACTCACGTGTAAGAACAGCAGAGCTCCGTAGAACACGATGTACACTTGGTGCCTCAGGCATCTCTTCATAGTGAACCTGACGGAATGATCTGCAAACAATATAGTAAATCGAATGTTAGAGACAAAACGAAAAAGAAAAAAACTATGCAATCGTCGTGTACGCCGAATATCAACGGCGTGGCTAGAAATGTCATCGGGTGGGAAGGGAGGAGGGGGCTACCGAGTGTATTGTCAAATGTCCAGTCCGATTTAAAACGTCGTTAAACGTTCGTCGGTTACCAAAAATATACATCTCGTTGGCTACGCCCTTGCTCGATAATATAATATAAGCACAAACGAGGCCGCGTCTCGATCAGCCGGACCCGAGCGAGTAGGTATATAATATAATACAAAATATAACGTACGAGATTATAATAATAATAATAATAGTAATGTGGAATAATATCACGATTTACAATAATATTTGGAGACCGGATCTCAAACGTTTTCGGGGTGAAGGTCGTCTGCGCGCGGCATCCGGAACGATCGGAATCGAACGCGCCGGAGGCGGGGCAAAACGGTGTGTTTGGAAAACGTAAAAATGTAATATGTATCTGGAACACGCGGGCCGCTAGAGGCGCTCGAGTCGACCGGGCCCGGGAAAGTAAGGCGCTTTCACTGTCTTCGGGATGTGGGTGGGCGGGCGGATGGGTATATGTATACACGTCCCATGTTATACCTCTTGTTGTATGTGTGTGTGTGTGTGTGTGTGTGTGTGTGTGTGTGTGTGTGTGTGTGTGTGTGTGCGCGTGTGTGTGTGCGCGCGCGTGTATGGCGTATAGATGTGCGTTCGTTGCAATTGCACTTTCAAATATTTTACGTCTTCAGAACGCCAATTAGAGAGGTAGAGAGACCGCGGTTTGCGTAGGTATATTTATAATTAAATGTATTATTATAAAAAATATTATGTTCGTTGGAGCTACGTCCTCCCTTATAAATCATAATGTCGTAGTCAGAGGCCGCTGTTCTGCGATTAACCGTGGTTTTCGTTTCTTTCGAGGTTTTTTTCCCGGCAGCGGCGTCGTTTATCGTGCGAAAAACTGCGCCCCTCACGAATATCATCAAATCGCCGATACGGACGCGACAGCTAAAATTCAACCCCCGAAAAACGAGGACGACATTGAATACTGATCGAAAAAACGGCAAGCCACTAACCCAGCCGAGGATTTCATACCATCATGGCTAAAAAAGCAGTAGACACGATATATGTTTCGAGGAGGCTTCGGACAGTCACAAATAATATGCGAGTTACTAGAACGGCGGTATTTTCAGGATGTGGTTAAGGTACCCACTCCCCCCTTGGTTAATAGGATCCGCGAAGGATGCGAATTATAAAAACAACGTAGACGCCGTGTCCGTGTGGGTAAGGCACGCCGTAAAACAGAATACTGAAAGATATTTAACATACGAATATCCACCGAGTAACATGATGATATTATTATTATAATGTGTACGGGAAAAAACTATTTTTTTGCAATCCGTTAAATTTGTAAATGGACGAGCGCGTACAAAAAATCGTGACCGAAACAAGCGGCGCCCGGGGTTCTCGTCCCGACTCTTCCCCGCTCCCATCCGGAGGATTTCCCCCCGACCGTCATTAGGCATATTTGAACGATTGTTGTCAATTGGGCGGGTCAACGATGGTAATGACTAATAATAATGTAAGCATATAATCACACTAACAATAATAATAATAATAATTGGTCGACGCGAACGTGTATGTACAGCGCAGAATGTTCGTCGCCAGACTTGCCACATCTTTATAATATTATTATTATTATTATTATTATTATTATAGTCTAGCGCGGAGGTAAAATTAATATTTAATAATAAAAAATAAAATAGAAACAATGGCCCGTGGGAGAAAACATACACATGTTGAAAAATAGAAAGAAACACCGATCCGAAGGTTTCGATTAGAACCGGTTTGAATCAGATATACATGTATAATATAATACCTATATGATGCATATGTGTGTGTGTGTGTGTGTGTGTAAATATATGTATCGAATTACTTTCAATGTTCGTGTAAAAAGGACCTGTTCTCTCCAAGATCAAGATCAATGAACCGCGTGCACGCCCAGGAATATGGGTCAGTAGGATGTAAATATTTATTCCGCCGCACCCCTCGCAAGGTCAAAACCGTTTCGTCGATCCCTCACACGACGGTGCAGTCCACTACGCTGCGTAGATAATAATACGTTGCGTTATGTTATATTATTGTTGCTATTAAATATTGTCGCGAGTACATTATAATGGCACACAGTTACTCGCAAACAAAATTAAATAACACTCGATTTACAAAAAAAGCGTAATACGACAACAAAATAATAATAATAATATGTTCGCGGCCATAATACGCATACATAGGTGAAGCGGGGAGATTGCGATGTATATCGTTTGGGTTTTTTCTTCTCGATGGCGACAAATAAACAGCTCGGACAAACGAGATTCGATCGACAGAGGTGTACTGAGCCACGCGAGAAAACACTAGTAAATACACGGTTCAACCCACGGGATTCGTTTACACGAGGCGACTGTATAATATTTGGGTGTCACGGGTATAATTATAAACGAGACCCCGCCGAACGTCGTTTTTCAGGCGGTCGTTCGTAAACTATCGTCTAAAATACTATCCCAGGTAAACCTAGAGGTTTTAATATAGAATGAAGAATAATACGTACACATCGCGTCGTATACATAATAACGTACGTAGACGGTATTATATTATAATTACCTACCGTTGTGCTGGGAAAACGGCTTTACGCTGTGGGAAAAGCGTGTGCCATTGGGTTTCACACCTCTTTCGGTACACGACCGTAAGTTATACTACCTGCGCAGTGGCGTTGTGATATCGTGTGGACGCCATGAACGCCACGCGACTTTGACGATTCGTAGCAGAAACCCGACCGAAATGGAAAACGCGGAATAAAAAACGGAATACGAATATTTCTTCGCGTTCGCGGTGCGGACACGGGTAGATAGGGGTACACGGTTTTACGACGCATTAAGGTGCCTTTACACTGTATCGTGTCGTCCATAACTCTTATCGTGTCGTCCATTTCTAATTTCGTTCTTGGTAGAATGGTTTATATTAGGTATATATTAGGTTAACGAATGTAACCGCGTATCATGTTGGCATGGTTTTGATAACAATTATATATTAATAGATAGGTTTATAAAATTATTTATTATTATCAGGAGGATTGAACCACGACTGTTACCGCACGATGACAAGTTGAATTTTTTTCAACTTTCTGGTAACACCTGGTAACGTGGTATATTAATTAGGTAACCACAATATTCAGCCAATCAAAACACTGTAATTTTAAGACGACGTCCTAAATTATGGACGACACGGTACAGTGTAAAGGCGCCTTTATCGTTGTTATAAGCCTGCGCATGGACTGACGACCGTATACCGGGTCCAACCGATAGTAATATGTGTGGACGCGTCGAGTTTAAACCGACGGCCACCCGGGGCGTGATGCCGACCAGTGACCACCCGGCCTGCAAGTCGTACGGGCCGTCGACCGGCGAATATTTCATGCCCGACGTAAGTATACGATACAGAAGTACCTACCTCCTTTCCCGTCGTGTGTACAACAATAAAGAGGCTTCAACCCAAGCGGACGGCGCTTTCACGGACTCCGACATAGCGCCCGTTCGGCGTGAACATTGTTTCGGCAAAACGGAAACGGATGAGATTAACACACACACCGTTGCCGACGTGTCTTGGTGTGTTTGAATGTATATGTGTGTGTGTATGTGTGCTTGCATGCAGTGTATGTATGCTTGCAAGTGTGTGTGTGTGTGTGTGCGTGTGTGAGCGCGTGTGTGTGTGTGTGTGTGCGCGCGCGCGAGCGTACGAAGAGATGCGCGTCCGTGTTTACTTTCTAATTCTTAACCGTACGGACGTGACTGGACGGACGGGAGATTAAACTCGGCTCGTTAATTTTCAATTACACGCACGCCATTAAATTTGGCGCGAGTAATTCGGGGCGGCGGCGGCGGCGGAGACTTTAACGCGACGACGCTGGGGGTGAAGCCCGGTTCCGGTACTACCTATACCTATATATCCATTATCGTTTATCAATTCTAAATTTCTAATTGGACCGTTTTCAAACTTGTTGAACACCCTGTATGTATAACATATATGACCGTATATTACACGTCTTTGGAAACTCTACAAGAACAGAATGTAGACATGCGTATAACACGTCATATTAAACATGTAAGATTATTGCATTACTATCTATTATTACATTAATAATTATAAGATGATTTGTTTTAGTAATAATAATGATCATTGTTAATTTTAGTTGTATAGCTTTGTATTTTATTTTATTTCGCTACACGATTTTATACACAATAATAATAATACCTTATATAAGACACATAAAATATATAGACGAAAATATGTGCCTATTAATTGTATTGATGTTTTAGTTATTTTAGAACATTTTTAACTATTCAATAAATGTGTATTTCAAACTCTGAACTTATATGACCCCCACACGAACATGTCAAGTAGGGCCTGAAAGGCTGAATTCGTGGCATTTTTTCGACTTTACCGAAGGACCACCTCCTCTAAGTGACGTATGATATGCAATATAACGTGAGTATAAGTGACACGGACGCACGATCAAATTACACACGTTTTTTATGTAAGTAGTTTGTTTTGATTGTATACACATTTTACAGTGAAGACTTGTTTTTCACCCATTGATTTTGATCAAGTCACACTGTTTGACGTAGCTAATAGTCATAACAGACCGTTTGCAAAAAATATATTACAATATAATAATAATATGTCTGGGGCTGAAATTCGGCGACGAGAAACGCGGCTTTCGCCTAGCAATATTAATGTATTGTTTTTCTGCGACTGCGCTATGACGTGCGTGCATAATAAACACAGTATAATACAATGTACACACCAACACATAAGAACGTATCTATAGCTATATTGTTTTAATAGCGGTAATGTTCGATACGTGATTCAACACATCCGGATCGTTGGTCCCGTTCGGAAACCACGGGTGGACGTTGA